CCTCCCAACATCCCAAACTCATCCCATACCACTCGGCTCTTCGTCTCCCATGGCTGAACCTCCTGTTTCCCTGCGGAGCCGCCGAATCCCGACCGATTCCGTCTGGAATTGGATGAATTCCTGCTCAGATGGAGACTGAGGAGATGATCCAGAGGTCCATGGCAGCAGGAGGAGGAGGAAAAGCTGCCCAGGAGCGACGTGTGCTGCGGGTGAAGGAAGCTCTTGTGGGCAGAGCTGCTTCCTGCCGAGGCTCTTCCGCCTCGGCGCCGCGCGGCCCGCGCAGGATTTGCGTAACTCGGTGGGGTCGGAGGGCAGAGCCGGAGGGACGTGCCAGGACCTCCTGTCTCCAGCAGCTCCCATGGCTGGTCCACCCGGAGAACGCTCCGTGCTGCCCAGAATTCCGGGAGTCATGGGTGGATCGGCTCGGAAAACCTTCGGTGATTTGGGTCCGGGTGTTGCCCGACACGGCTAAGCTCCCCCTGAAATCTGGATCCGAGTGGTTTTGGGACACCTCCAGGGATGGGACTCCATTTCCATGAGGGAATTGCCCCAAGATCCAACCTCAACCTCTCCCAATGGAACTTGAGGCCGTTCCCGGTGTCCTGTCCCTCCATCCCTCGGCCCAAGTCCTTTTCCAGCTCTCCTGGAGTTCCTGGAGGCACTGGAAGTGACTCTGAGGTCTCCTTGGAACCTTCTCTGCTCCAGGTGAATTTTTATTGACTTTTGATTGCCCTTTATTGCCCTTTATTGACATTTTATTGCCCTTTATTGACATTTTATTGCCCTTTATTGACATTTTATTGCCCTTTATTGACATTTTATTGCCCTTTATTGACATTTTATTGCCCTTTATTGACATTTTATTGCCCTTTATTGACATTTTATTGCCCTTTATTGACATTTTATTGCCCTTTATTGACATTTTATTGCCCTTTATTGACATTTTATTGCCCTTTATTGACATTTTATTGCCCTTTATTGACATTTTATTGCCCTTTATTGACATTTTATTGCCCTTTATTGACATTTTATTGCCCTTTATTGACATTTTATTGCCCTTTATTGACATTTTATTGCCCTTTATTGACATTTTATTGCCCTTTATTGACATTTTATTGCCCTTTATTGACATTTTATTGCCCTTTATTGACATTTTATTGCCCTTTATTGACATTTTATTGCCCTTTATTGACATTTTATTGCCCTTTATTGACATTTTATTGCCCTTTATTGACATTTTATTGCCCTTTATTGACATTTTATTGCCCTTTATTGACATTTTATTGCCCTTTATTGACATTTTATTGCCCTTTATTGACATTTTATTGCCCTTTATTGACATTTTATTGCCCTTTATTGACATTTTATTGCCCTTTATTGACATTTTATTGCCCTTTATTGACATTTTATTGCCCTTTATTGACATTTTATTGCCCTTTATTGACATTTTATTGCCCTTTATTGACATTTTATTGCCCTTTATTGACATTTTATTGCCCTTTATTGACATTTTATTGCCCTTTATTGACATTTTATTGCCCTTGTTCGTCTTTTATTGACCTTTTATTGCCCTTGATTGTCTTTTATTGATCAATTATTGTCCTTTCATTCCTTTTGTTGGTCCTTTATTATCCTTTCTTGAGATTTTATTGACCTTTTATTGTCCTTTATTGACATTTTCTTGCCCTTTATTGTTCTTTATTGTCTTTTATTGACCTTTTATTGGCTTTTTATTGAGCTTTATTGAGCTTTATTGAGCTTTATTGAGCTTTATTGAGCTTTATTGTCCTTATTGACTTTTATTGCAATTTAATTGTTTTTATTGACCTTTGATTGACCTTTATTGTCCTTTATTGACCTTTTATTGACCTTTATTAGCTTTTATTGTCCCTTATTGTCTTTTATTGTTCTTTATTGCCCTTTATTGTTCTTTTATTGTCCTTTATTGACTTTTTATTGTCCTTTATTGTCCTTTTATTGTCCTTTTATTGTCCTTTATTGACCTTTATTGTCTTTAATTGTCCTTTATTGTCTTTTATTGTCCTTTTATTGTCCTTTATTGTCCTTTATTGCCCTTTATTGTACTTTTATTGTCCTTTATTGACTTTTTAGTAAACTTTATTGTCCTTTATTTTCCTTTATTGTCCTTTTATTGTCCTTTTATTGCCCTTTACTGTCCCTTATTTTCCTTTTATTGTCCCATATTGTCCTTAATTGTCTTTTATTGTCTTTTATTGTCCTTTATTGTCTTTTTATTGTCTTTTATTGACCTTTGAATGCCCTTTATTGTCCTTTATTGTCCTTT